TCGGTGTTCTTCGGCACAGCCCCCCCTTATCCGCCCACGCATAAATCCCCCCCACCTTTTCGGCCCAGCCGCCGTGTCAGGGAGCTCGTCCGGGGGCTGTGGTCTTGTTCGTTGTGAGTGTGCCCCCTCGACGGCCCGCTTTGACCCCTTTATGTCTCGGCACGGCCCCGACTCCCTCCCCGCGCGCCCCGCGCGCTCCCTCCGCATCCCCCCCACCCACCAGCCAGCGCGCCTCTCCGCCCCGACCCCTTTGTTACGCCCCCCCACCCCACCCAGCCACCCACTCACAAGCCAGCGCGCCCCTCCGCGCCGACCACTTTGTAATTTTGGCACGGCACACGCATCCGACCCGACTCCTTTATTTTGGCGCGGCACCGCCCACTCCGCCCCCTCCGCGCGCGCCCCCTCCGCACCCCCCCCCACCCACCAGCCAGCGCGGCGCCCCTGCACCGCCCCGAGCCCTTTTTGGTGTTTTGACGCTGGCACCGCCCCGGAAGAGCGTGACCCATCATCTCGGCACGCCACCGCCCCCCCACCCCGAGCGCGCCCCCCGCATCCCCCATCCACCAGCCAACGCGCCCCATCCGCCCCGACACCCCCATCCCGAGCGCCCCCTCCATCACCACATTCTCCAGCAAGCGCGCCCCCTCCGCCTCCTCCCCCTTCCTTTCTGTGCAAGAGTCATGGCGCGCGTGCCACTTGTTCCCCTGCAAATGGTCCGCAAGCCCCACGAATCGTGACCGTTTTCAGGAAGAGTTGTCGGGGGCGCGCAAACATGGATTAGCGATCCATGGATTTGGCGCGCGGTCGCCAAATCCATGGATCGGGAGAGGTGCCCTCCCCAAAAGGCGGCCGCTGCCGCCTCGCTCGGCGGCAGGAATCAGCGATTTGGGAAGCGGGACCCGTCGCTAATCCACCCCCCCTTGATCCATGTTTGCGATCGCCTGACGATGGTCCGCAAACCCCACGAATCGTGACCGTCTTCAGGAAAAGTTGCCACCCGACACGGTGCGCGGGGGCGGGCTCAGCGGGCGCGGCGCGCTCATCTCGGGCCGGGCGAAAGGGGGGGATAGCACAGGGGGCGGGGGGGGGGAGAATCAGCTCACGTGGCTGATTTTCTTCCCGGCGCTGGGAGGCGCCGGGAGGCGCCCGTGTATCGAGGAATGGGCCTGGCGGCGGGGCCGAAACCAGCTGCATGCAGCAGATTTCGTACCCCCCCCCCTCCCTAGACAAACCTCCCTTCAGCAAACCTCCCCTTAGCGAAAACGACCTGGGACCGAAATCGACGCACCTGGACCCGCAAAAATGACGGGCGCGACGCCCTCTCGCGAACCGAAAACAAAACGGCCAATTCCTTAATCGACGTGTCAGGGTAGAGGGTCGATCCACCTCCGATATCCCCCCCTTTTCGTTCGGCGCGCTCATCCCCGAGGCTGCGTGGGCCGACCCGCTCGATACCCACGCGGCTGGGATGGTGCGGCGGGAGGTCGCCAGGGTCGGAGGGCGGGGACCACGCGGCGGGCCACGTGAGCGAGAGATCTACCCCCAGACATGATCGCGTCGTAAAAAGTCAGACGGTCAGGGCTTCATTTTTTTCTCGGCCCCTGGGGGCCCTCGCCGGCCCCCGGCAACGTCAAAAAACGACTCAGGATGAAAAACGGGCCCCGGGGAATGGGTCGGGACTTCTGGGGACGCCGTACTGAAAAAAACAGGACGTCGCATGTCTGGCCTGCGTGAGCCCGAAGGCGTGCTCCAGTACGTCGCAGCGCTGACGTAAGTCATGGAGAGCCTCTGGTGGGAGGCTATGCAAAAAAAGGAGGGAGACATAATGCGGCGCTTTGCGGCAGTGAAGGTAGGATCGAGATAGAGAATGGCGTGATCGGAGAGGCGCTGACGCCACAGTTCGCGGACCTTGTAATTGGCCGCTGCGTGCGAGGTGACGGCAGCATGGTCGATTTGGGACTCGCCCCGATGCCCAGAGCGGATGGGGCCGTCGCAAGCAATGGTAGCTGCACCGTGCTGTCGTACGTATTGCAGCCAGCAGGCAGAGTCCTCGTCCTCACCCTCACGCGGGTCTGTAAGCTGCATGTTGAGGCCTCCTTCCCAAAGGGGAAGGCCGCCCGCCGGAGGAATCCAGGCGGAATCCAGGGCTCGGAACACCTCGGCCCTGCGTCCGGGTAGGAGGCAGACGCAGGCGAAAAGCATGGGCTCCCCACCCCACTAAACTACCGGAAACGAGGACGTGGCTGGTGACTAGCTCGGTGGCGTGGGCTTCGTCGGGAATGGCAGGCAGAGCGTCCGCCACGCCGCCAGCCAAGCCGTGTCGCTCGGTGTGCTGCGCAGGAGAATGGGGCGGGGGGGGGAGGAGGAAGAGGAGGAGGAGGAGGAGGAGGAGGAGGACGAGGAGGAGGAGGAGGAGGAGGAAGCCACCGGACGTTCCAGGAAGCCGCTGTTGGCAGGGCGCCCCTGGCCCACCCCCGAAGACGAGGGGCTAGGTGCGGCCACCGCCCGACACCTGGGAGCTCCCCCCGGGTCGCCTCCGGCGGGAGAGGGCGGCCGTGGAGGAGGGCTCAGAGAGCAGCGGCGGTGGAAAGAACTCCCCTTCGTGGAGGGCGAGGCGGTGACCGCAGGAGAGGTGCCTCCGCCTCGGCGGACGCACGGTGCGAGGCGGTGAGAAGTCCTCTCTGCGGAGGGCGAGGTGGAGACAGCGAGAGAGCTGTCTCCACCCATCGGACGCACGTCGCGGGACCCAGGATGGCCAGGATGGTTTCGCGACAAGCAGCTTCACGACAAGGAAGAGACAGATTCACGACAAGCAAACCCACGTTCGCCGCCCACTTTCGCCGCCCACTTTCGCCGCCCACTTTCGCCGCCCACTTTCGCCGCCCACGTTCGGCGCCCACTTTCGGCGCCCACTTTCGCCGCCCACTTTCGCCGCCCACTTTCGCCGCCCACTTTCGGCGGCCGCTTCTGCCGCCCACTTTCGGCGCCCACTTTCGCCGCCCACTTTCGGCGCCCACTTTCGCCGCCCACTTTCGCCGCCCACTTTCGGCGCCCGCTTCCGCCGCCCACTTTCGGCGCCCACTTTCGCCGCCCACTTTCGCCGCCCACTTTCGCCGCCCACTTTCGCCGCCCACTTTCGCCGCCCGCTTTCGCCGCCCACTTTCGCCGCCCACTTTCGGCGCCCGCTTCTGCCGCCCAGTTTCGGCGCCCACTTCCGCCGCCCACTGTCGGCGCCCACTTTCGGCGCCCACTTTCGGCGCCCACTTTCGCCGCCCACTTTCGCCGCCCACTTTCGCCGCCCACTTTCGGCGCCCACTGTCGCCGCCCACTTTCGGCGCCCACTTTCGCCGCCCACTTTCGGCGCCCACTTTCGCCGCCCGCTTTCGCCGCCCACTTTCGGCGCCCTCTTTCGGCGCCCACTTCGCGCCCACTTTCGCGCCACTTCGCCGCCCCACTTTCGCCGTCCCACGTTCGCCGCCCCACGCTCCGCCGCTCACTTTCGCCGCCCACTTTCGCCGCCCACTTTCGCCGCCCACGTTCGCCGCCCACGCTCCGCCTCCCACTTTCGCCTCCCACTTTCGCCGCCCACTTTCGCCGCCCACTTTCGCAGCCCACTTTCGGCGCCCACTTTCGGCGCCCACTTTCGCCGCCCACTTTCGCCGCCTACTTTCGCCGCCCACTTTCCCACTTTCGCCGCCCACTTTCGCCGCCCACTTTCGCCGCCCACTTTCGCCGCCCACTTTCGGCGCCCACTTTCGCCGCCCATTTTCGGCGCCCACTTTCGGCGCCCACTTTCGGCGCTCACGTTCGGCGCTCACTTTCGGCGCTCACTTTCGCCGCCCACTTTCGGCGCCGAAAGTGGGCGGCGAAAGTGGGCGCCGAACGTGGGCGACGCACGTGGGCGGCGAAAGTCGGCGGCGAACGTAGGCGGCGAACGTGGGCGGCGAAAGTGGGCGGCGAATGTGGGCGGCGAAGGCGAACTTGGGCGGCGAAAGTGGGCGGCGAAAGTGGGCGGCGAAAGTGGGCGGCGAAAGTGGGCGCCGAAAGTGGGCGGCGAAAGTGGGCGCCGGAAGTGGGCGGCGAAAGTGGACGCCGAACGTGGGCGGCGAAAGTGGGCGCCGAAAGTGGGCGGCGAAAGTGGGCGCCGAAAGTGGGCGGCGAAAGTGGGCGGCGAAAGTGGGCGGCGAAAGTGGGCGCCGAAAGTGGGCGGCGAAAGTGGGCGTCGAAAGTTGGCGCCGAAAGTGGGCGGCAGAAGCGGGCGCCGAAAGTGGGCGGCGAAAGTGGCGGCGAAAGTGGCGCGAAGTGGGCGGCGAAAGTGGGCCGGCGAAAGTGGGCGGCAGTAAATGGCGCCGAAGTGGGCGGGCGAAAGGGGGCGCGAACACGTGCGGCGAAAGGGGGCGCCGAACGTGGGCGGCGAAAGTGGGCGGCGAAAGTGGGCGCCGAAAGTGGGCGGCGAAAGTGGGCGCCGAAAGTGGGCGCCGAACGTGGGCGCCGAAAGTGGGCGCCGAAAGTGGGCGCCGAAAGTGGGCGCCGAACGTGGGCGCCGAAAGTGGGCGCCGAAAGTGGGCGACGAAAGTGGGCGCCGAAAGTGGGCGGCGAAAGTAGGCGCCGAAAGTGGGCGCCGAAAGTGGGCGCCGAAAATGCTTGTCGTGAATAAGCCGTGCCTTGTCGTGTGTCAGTTTTCTCTTGTCGTGTTTCAGTGTTCCTAGTCGTGAGAACACCCGAGCTTTGGACCCAGGCCGCTGGGGAGGGGGGGTGCGGCACAGTGTCGACAGGAGCGGGTCCCCCTGTCGTGCCATCGGGGGCGCGTCCCTAGGACGGCACTGGGGCGAGGTAGGCCCCTGGCGCCTTGCGCGGAGCATTGCGGCCACGCGAGCGGCAGCTCGGCGTAGAAACACACACACACACACACACACATACACACACGCACGCACGCACACACGCACGCACGCACGCACGCACGCACGCACGCACGCACGCACGCGCGCACCATCATCACCATCACCATCATCATCACCGGCACCATCGAGAAAAGGGCACGCGCCGTGCTTCTCCTCACGCCGCCTGGACGTCGGGGGAGCTCGCGCCGCTTCTTCGAGCAGCAGGGGCAGGGCAGCACACCTGACCAGACCCAGACCCCCCGACGGTCGTGGCCCTGCTGAAAGACGTGGGCCCCTGGAGTTTTCGGGCCCGACTCCCCCAAGAGTTGGCAGGCCTGTCGTCTTGCATGCCGCCTTACTGGCCGCCCGAGAAGCCTGGAAGCGTGTCCATCCTCACCATCCTCATCCTTGTCCTCCTCTCTCCTCCCTCCTCCCTCCTCCCTCCTCCTCCCTCCGCCTCCTCCTCCCCCTCCTCCTCCTCCTCCTCCTCCTCCACCACCTCCCCCTCCTCCTCCTCCTCCTCCTCCTCCTGCTCCTGTTCCTCCTCCTCCCCCTCCCCCTCCACCTCCTCCTCCTCGTCCTCGTCCTCCTCCTCCTCTTCTTCTTATTATTATATTATTAATCTTATTATTAGTCTTCTTACTATTATTAGTAGTAGTAGCATTAGTAGTATTAGTATTCGTATTATTATTCTTCTTCTTATTATTAGTATTACTATTATTATGCTTATTCTTATTAATAGTATTCTTCTTATTAGTATTATGCTTATTATTCTTCTTATTAATAGTAGTATTAGTCTTCTTACTATTATTATTCTTATTGTTCTTCTTAGTATTATAATTCTTATTATTATTATTGTTATTATTCTTCTTCGTCTTATCATTATTATTAATATCATTCTTTCCTTAGTATTACTATTATTCTTCTTTTTCGTATTATTACTATTATTATTGCTATTAGTATTATTCATATTTTTCTTATGCTTATTATTATTGGTGTTCCTCTTATTCTGATCATCATTATTATCATTCGTATTCTTAATCTTCTTATTATTAGTAATATTCTTATTCGTATTCGTATTATTCGTCTTCTTCTTATTATTATTAATTTCATTCGTCTTATTCGTCATATGCTTCTTCTTCTTATTAGTATTCTTATTATTCTTATTAGTTTTCTTATTATTATTAGTATTATTGATATTCCTCCTCCTCCTCCTCCTCCTCCGCCTCCTCCTCCTCCTCATCATCATCATCAAAATCAGCATCATCATCATCAGCAGCAGCAGCAGCATCATCGTCATCATCATCAGAATGGTCAACATCATCATCATCAGCAGCAGCATCATCATCATCATCATCATCAGCATCATCATCATCATCATCATCATCAGCAGCAGCAGCATCATCAGCATCATCAGCATCATCATCATCAGCATCAGCATCAGCATCATCATCATCATCATCATCATCATCAACATCAGCATCAGCATCATCATCAGCAGCATCACCATCATCATCAGCATCATCATCAGTATCAGCATCATCATCATCATCAGCATCATCATCAGCATCATCATAATCATCATCATCGTCGTCACCATCATCATCATCAGCAGCAGCATCATCATGATCATCATCATCATCATCATCAGCAGCAGCATCATCAGCATCGGCATGATCAGCATCATCATCATCAGCATCATCATCAGCAGCAGCATCATCAGCATCATCAGCAGCATCATAATCATCATCACAGCAGCAGCATCATCATCAGCATCAACATCAGCATCAGCAGCATCATCATCACCACCATCATCACCAGCATCAGCATCATTATCACCATCATCAGCAGCATCAGCACCATCATCAACATCACCATTATCATCATCATCATCGTCATCGTCATCATCATCATCATCAACATCATCAGCACCATCACCATAAGCATCATCATCAGCATCATCAGAAGCATCATCATCAGCAGCAGCATCACCATCATCAGCATCATTAGCCGAACATCATCATCATCGTGACCATCAGCACCATCATCATCATCAGCATCATCATAGGCATCATCATCAGCATCGTCATCATCATCGTCATCACTATCATCAGCAGCAGCATCAGCATCAGCATCAGCATCAGCATCATCATCAGCGTCATCCTCCTCCTCCTCCTCCTCCTCCTCCTCCTCCTCCCCCTCCTAGCCGTTTCGGCACGAGCTCTTTCAGGGGCCCGTGCTTGTGTTCACGTACTTCGAAGCGGCTCGTGAACACGGGCCACTTCACAAGCGCACGGCGCCTCCCGCTGCAGAGTCCAGCAGTGGCGGATGGTGCCAAACCCGCCCGATGTCTTGCCTGGAGCCAAGACTCCCCTGTGGAGTTGCAGCTGCGGGTGCCCGGACAATTGGGCGTCCAGGGTCATATGCAGAGGCTGCGGCAAGGATGCCCCAGTGCGAGTCGTCCAGGCAGCTCGTAAGGCATCAGCGGCACTCAAGTCAGGATCGGTTCGCGGGCCTCGTGGCGCCTGGGTTCAAGGGCCGCCGCCGATCGGACCCAGCAACAAGGAGCAGATGCGCCTCATCCAGGAGCTCAGGGCAGAGGTCGCACAGTTGGCGGGTAAGCAGCCCCCAGTTCGGCCGCCATGGCAGTCCAGCCCCCCTTCGCCGCAGCGGGGCACGACGGGCGAATCGTCCGCCAAGCTCTCGTTCGCTGATGTGCTGCAGTTCCTCAAGGATGAGGGCGTTGACACGGCGAAGGTCGAAGAGGCAGAACAGGCAAAGAAGCAGGCTACGGCGGTCAAGCAGCCCACGTCCAGGGCCGCGCACTGGAAGGTCGAGAACCTCCGCACCAAGCTCTCCAAGGCGGAGGTGCGTGCGGCGGCGTTGCGCAAGCAACAGGAGGATCTTCAGGCCGAGGTCGCTGAGCTGGACAAGAGCGTCGACAAGCTCAAAGAAGACCTTGGACAGGCTGAGCAGGCGCTTTTCCGCGTCCAAGCAGATGGAGATCCACTCAGAGCAGTCACGGCCACCCTGGACGAGGCCGTCGCCCAGTCTGATGAAGGAAAAGCTGCATTGGCCACCCTCCAGCGCCTGCAGGCCGAGGCTCAGGCCAAGAGGGCAGTGGCCAGCGGGCCTGATGCTGCAAGTGCTCCTCCTGGTTCTGCTACAGGCGGGGCGGGCAGCGGCGAGCACATTGCAGCCACGGCTGGCGACGGCGACGACATCGACATGGACTTGCTGGATGGAGAAGACTTCGATGAGCGCAGGGCAGCTTTCGACAAGGCCGCCCAGGAGCTCAAGGAGGCCAAAGGAGGAAGTCAGGAGCAGCTCGACGCCGCCAAGCGCAAGTACCTCGAGGCTGCAGAGGCCATTGGGGTCAAGCGGGCTCGGTCGTGCTCCTGAGCTGAACGCTGGAGTGGAGGGCCCTCCTCCAGTCAGTGGTGTGAAGGAGCAGTCCAGCTTGAATGCCTCCCTGAGGTGCAACATCCTGGACCACGACTGGGAGCAGGCCACGGGCTTCGCTGTGCCAGTCATGCGCGACGACCTGCTGTTCGACTCGATGCAGTTTCGCCAGCGTGACGGAACTTTGAAGGAGTTGGACGAGAAGGATTGGCCCGTGCTCGGTTCCGCTTTGGCGAGGAGTACGTCGTCGTATCGCTTGGGCAAGGGAGGGAGGGATTCAGCCCCTCGAAGTCACACTCCCTTGCCCGCATCGTCGATGGCTTCCAGTTCGAGCACGGCGACTTCGGCATCCTCGATGATCCCCCAACTGGCCCGCTCCTCGGGGTTGGGGGCAAGTGCAGCGCAGGAACATACTCCCCAACTGGCCCGCTCCTCGGGGTTGGGGACATGTGCAGCGCAGAGGCTACCGCCCCAACTGGCCCGCTCCTCGGGGTTGGGGGCATCTCCTAGCTGTGAGGCCAGACCTTCTTCGTGGATGGCATGCGCGTCGACGCAGACGGCTACGGCGGCGACGGCTGGTTCTTCGCGTGGCGTTAGGACGCAACAGTCGTCGCCGCCTGCCCTTCCCTCCCCCAGGGCACCCCTTCCACAGGAGGCGGGGGTCTCAGCGCGTGGGGAGGGGGGGCAGGATGTTTTGCTGGCGCAGCATCCAGACGCTGAAGCGAGATTGGCTGGCAGTGTGCGTGGCCTCCTTCGTCCCCAAGTTGAACCAGATGCGGATTCGAAAACACATTGGTTGAAATCCGACGGGAGGGCGGAAGTACCTCCCGCTCGTAATCTTCTTGCGGACGATCGTGTCTCTGGTGTAGCGCGGGGATCTGCAGACTTGTGCATTTTTGGAGCCAACGTCAACAGCTGGTCGACAGCGGACACTGTAGTGAACTGGGTCCGAGATCAAGCTGACGTAGGAGGATCTGGGGCGGAGTCTTGGGGTTTAGTCCAAAGCAAGTTCCAGGTGGTCACGCTCCAGGAGACAAGGTTGAAGTCCCCCGACAAGATCATCTCGGCCCAGAGTTGGGCCTGCAGGAATGGGTACCAGGTGTCTCTCGGGAAGGCCCTCAGCACTGGCGACGGGCCCTTGCAGAGCTCTGGAGGAGTCGGTATCTTGGTTGCTGGGGAGATCGCTTCGAGGCCCTTGGATCTTCCAGGTTTGGGCAGGTTCGACGGGAGGATCGTAGGTCGGGTCATCAACGCGGGGTTCGACCAGGGCCTTGAGATCTACAGTGTCTATCTCGTCAACGACATAGGCGTGACGGGCGAGAATTTAGAGCTTTTGGAAGTTCTGGGGGCGCTTCTTTTATGCAGTAAGCGCCCGTGGGTCGTGCAAGGTGATTGGAATTTCACGCCCACGGCTCTCCAGCTATCAGGTTGGATACAGCATGTGCACGGTGTGCTAGCCTCTTCTGGCCAGGCAACCTGCTCGGCCTGCGCTCCTAGGACTGCCAGGGGAGAAGATATGGAGGAGGAGGAGCTGACGGAGCATGACGGGGGAGGAAGGGAGCTTGACTTCTTCGTCGTGTCATCGGCTATCAGTTCGTGCATCAAAGATGTCCAGGCTATCCGAGGAGCGCCTCTTTTTCCCCATTGCCCTGTGCTGCTTCGGTTGGGGAACCTCTGCCAGACGGCGGTAGTCCAGCAGCAGACGCGTTTCAAGCCGTTCAGCACCGCGCTCATGGGGCCTCTGCCGCAGGAAAGGGACATCCAATGGAGCGACCCTCTAAACTCAGATTTGAACGCGCTCGCTCGGGAGTGGTTCGGGGAAGCCGAAGCTCGCCTGGT